CATAAGAAGCCTCACCAACATCCTGTACCACCTCAATATGACATTCCAACTCCTGTAGTCAAAGGTCTGAGCGATGAAAGCAAGCATGTTAAACGCCTTCTTGACTACCCTCTCTATATGTGACACAAACTTCAAAGAATTATGTGCATGAACCCCCAGGTCTCTCTGTCCTACAGCACCAACCAAGGCCCTACTTTTAATTGATAAAGTCCAGCCCTTGTTTGTTTTACTGAAATGCAATACTTTACTTTTATCCAAATTAAATTCCATCTGCAAATCCTCACCCCTTTCCCCAGGTACTGACACCAAACATCTTCCTGACCACTATGAGGCTGAACCAGATTGCTGTAACTTTAGTGATATATTTGACTCCATGATCAACATCCACACCATCACTGCGACAGCCTATACCCGTTTCCATAATCCGTTCCTTCATTGCCTCGCCCCAACTCACCTTCTGCTAAAACACTTCATTGCCTCTCATTCTTGACTATTCCAACACAGTCTTGCAGCCCTTGACATTCTACTCTCCATAAACTTGAGCACATACAAAACTCTGCTGTATGCATCGATATTTACACTAAGTCTTGTTCTCCCATATTCCCCGTGCTCGCTAATCTACTCTGGCTCTCAGTTAAGCCAAATCAGAAGATAATTATTCACTGTCATGTCACTCACTATGCAATCTGCTCACACTATCGTTCAAGGTATCTGTACGTCCAACACCTGCCTCTTACATTTGCCAATTTTAATTGCTCCACTCTGAATATAAACAGATACAAAATAAAGCCACCACATAAAATTAGAGCTGATCTCAAATGACACAAGTCTCTTTTCAGCCATTTAGGACTCACACCTATTTAGCTGAAAGTAACATAATTTAATGAACACTGGATTCATTGCAGGAGATTCTTCTTGTTAATTACTGTCATGAATTAACTATTACCTGTATGGAGTCTCATTCATTGAGGTTTTAATTGTTGCTAGATATTTTTATAGATGGAAATTTCCCATCTGTCTTTTTTCCTTTCAATTACTATATTGTCCTTCCCATATTTTTCCCTTTCTTTACCTGATTTGACGTGAGATTTACTCAAAATCACACTTTCTTCTGCCGTTGCATTGCTAATTTCACAAACCCTTAACCTGATTGGTTGAGAAGAGATCCAATTGCTTGTCCTATTGACTTAGATCCCAAATGTTCATTTTCTTGCATAATTACCAGTCCACACTTTTTCAGTAATTTAGGGTGCAAGATATCATTGAGCTTAAACTGGCATGGGAAAGTCTATCAGATATCGTCGTATTCAGTTCTACAGCAAAATATCACCCAGTTATGTTTCTGGAAATAATCCTTTATCTGAACAAAGGTCTTGTGATCAGATTTGATAATTAGTTTATAGTAAATTACCGAAGACATCATTCATGCAAAATCAGCTTCTCAATTGCTACGTTGGTGCATGGAATGTGTTTTAACCCTGTTACAAATAAGGTGTTTGGCAAAGGATAAATGATATTAATTGCATTTTACTGTACCCTATGAAAAGGAGTGGAGCAAAAATTAGTTTGATTTCAGTTTTTAAGCGCACATGGAATTTTATTTGCAAGACTTCAAATGCTAAATCACATTCACAAATTTGTATTTGAAGTAGAGCAGGCATGAAGTGCAATTCATATTGCTACAAAAACCAAATTTAGTTAAATTCCATGGCACTCAGTTGTGTTACTGAATTAATGTTAATCATTTAATTAAAATGACTGTCTAGCATAAATACATGCCATAAGAATTATGATTGAAAACTAAAATGGTCTTACAATATATTGTACAATAAGGTCAAACAGATTAGAGAGCAGAAAAAATAATTCCAACCAAAGGTTGCATTTTCTACCACCACAGCTGCAGGGGATGCACTCACTGCCCATGCAGTCTCAGTGTCCACATGTCACCACCAGCACTGCTGCAGGTAAATGCCCGCATCTTAAACCTTGACTGACGTGTGAAGAATATTTTTTCAGAGAATGCCCCTTTCCATATTACACTGCATTGGCATGTTAAATAATTGAGGCAAATTTTTTTTTTTTAAGAGCTCCCATTTATAAGGTGTGTGGATAGCCATTGACCTAAAGGAGCCCTTGTTGCCTCAGCCACCATCTCAATTGCTGCCTCATTCTCTCTGAGTGAGTGAAGCACTGAGTAGGACAGCGAGAGGAGCAGCAGCAATATGGGACACAACTGGGTCAGCAACACCAATTTCCTGTTCCAGTAAGGTGGCGGTGCACAGTTATGACATTTAGCAGTACTGATGTTCTGTTCTAATGCATGGCAAGAGATTCTGTCTTCCAAAAATTAACCATAGGTTTTTACTGTAGCCATATTAGGACACTGATCCATAAACGAGATACATGAGGTACATTAGAATATTAGCATCTCACCAGCACAATTTTAAGCTTTTTCATTGTTTAATGGAATATGGTTAGCATTTACTGCCTTTCCCTAATTTCTCAGGGGACAGTTAAAAGTCAACAATATTGCTGTGGGTCCGAATTCACACATAAGCCAGGCCAGTAGGAGTGGCAGATTTCACAAAGGACACTAGTGAACCAGATGGATTTGTTATGACAATCAGCTAGCTTTTTAATTGAATTCAGATTTTCCCATCCCACCATGGTGGGATTCAAACCCATGTTCCAGATATCATTCTGGAGTTCTTGGTTGCTAGTCCAGCAACATTACCATTCACAGCCTCCCCGCCTGGTGACACTGACAGTACGGCCAAAACTGCAAAATCAGTAAGTGCACAACAGTATTAATGCTACAATAGCATTAATTTACACTGACTAATGGACCAGCAATTCAGAACTACGGGTTTGTAATTAAAAAAAAAAGCAACTTTAAATTTCACCAGAATTCCACTTTGAGAATATGAAGACATTTTAAAAAAAAATTTAGATATAAAAAGCTGATATCTGCCAAAGTGGTCATGGATTTTTGTAAAAGCCCAACTAGATCATTAATGGAGGAGGGAAGGTTGCTACAGTCCTTTCTGTGGATATGTGTGTGGTTTCAATACAATACCAATGTGACTGCCCTCTAAAAGTGACCTGGTAAACCACACTGTTGTACCAAATTATTAAAGAGGGCCCAATACCAACATGGTAGTGCAAATGGAGAAGAGCAATGAATGCAGGTTCTACCAGCAAAATTAATATCCTCACAATAAAAATGAATACCAATATTTGTTACCCAAAGTGCTGTATCCACCATACAAACCATTAGCGAAAGCACGTGCTAGCGCATCACGAATAAAACTAACTGGATCCTTTTTTTTTCTAAGAACATTAACCAAAACCCCTCCTTACTAACAAAGGCAGGATGAACAAAGTGGTGGTGCAACCAAAATATGATGTAATACTTGTTGATGATCAAACTTGCAGATGATACAGAAGTTGCAAATGTACTGAACATTGAGAAGGATGACAACAGACTTCAGAAGGACACAGATTACCTAGCAGGGCAGACGTGACAGATGGAACGTCATGCAGAGAAGCCTGAAGTGACTCATTTTGCAGGAAGAACAAGGAGAGGCAATACAAAGTAAATGGTTATATGCAATTTTTATTAGGGCACAGAAACATACTTTACACAAGCAAAGGGTCTTCATCTGGGGCTGTTGAGAGATGTTGGCATTCAAAGTGATGCAAAAATTTGAACATGTACAGAGTACAAAAGAAAGGAAGTTACGCTAAGCTTTTGCAACGTATCGGTTTGACCTCAGCAGGAGTGTGGTAATAATTTTGTGCACATTTCAGGAAGCTTTCAAAGCATTCAAGATGTATTGAAGAGACTTCTTAGAATGTTACCAACAATGAAAAACTTCTAGTTGGTCACTGGAGCGTCTTGCTCTTCTTAAGAAGAGAAAGTTAAGTGGAAATCAGGTCTCGGTGTTTGATGTGGTAAAGTATCAGAAAGGAAGGTAACCAAAGGAGACAGTTTGGCATTAATAGGCAAGGAGAATGTATATACACAGTTTAAGTTGGTTTGATCTGAAAAGGTGGTGAAAGCAGATTCATTAATGACTTTCAAAAAGGACTTGAATGTATATTTGAACGGGTAAACTACAAGACTGTATGGCAAGGCCACAGGCGTGGGACCATTTCTATGGCCTTTTTGTTGCTATATAACTCAAACCATGTGAAATGTTTATATACAGTAGTACCACTTGGAGAGACAGGGCATACTTTAAGTACGCGGAGGTTTCAATATCAGACATCGGAAAAATCAAATGAGTAATGCACTATGCGTTTACAGTCACAACTTTCTAAAATAATTTAGGAATAAAATATCACATGTTTAAAAACATTTTTAATAAGGAAAACAATGGCTATTTGCAATTGCTATAACACAGGGCCTGGGACTGAATTGAAGCTTTAAAAAAAAGTGATTACAGAAGATGCTATTGGCCATCATGTCATTTTGTTCCGGGACCAGACTACTGTCACTTGATACTTTTACCACGAATGCCAACATCTCTCAACGGCCCCAGATGAAGACCCCTTGCTTGTGTAAATTTCTTTTGCAACAGACCGGGGAGCCGCTGTTTAACTGCTCTCTCAGTGCAATGTAAAATGCACCGACTATAATCCCGCACTCTTACATGGACATCTGGTCTGTACAAACCACGCCCATACAGCCCATTCCAACATGGTTACCTTTCCATTTCTCCGGGTAAAGTAGTCATTGCAATTTTTGAAAAAGCGCAGTCTGAGTGAAATTGCACCCTTGCACTTTCCAAAGGGGCTCATTCCGCTGAGCTGCATTTGCAACAGGGCCAAATACACACAGCAGAAAATTCTCCATATTTATAAACACAATTTTGAAATATGCAAGGTGTGATTAATACCCAAACCGTCTAAAACAAAAAAAAAAGAATCCGTCACAAAATAGCCTCAAACTCCTCGCTGGGTAAATCTCTTGCAGTTTCGGAGCATATTTTACTCACCAAACAGATCCATAAGCCCCTGATCCAACGGGAGTCAGATTCTGGTATCTCTCCGGAACCTCCCATTTCGTTTTGTTTAGTTCTTGTTTGTAAAAGCCAGACCTGACTGACATATTTACTCCATCAAACGCTGCAAGCCGGCGGCCGGACACCCTCTCCCTCCCCACTGCTGTCAGCGTCGAATCGAAACTCGTTATAGATTGCAGCCACACGCTCGTATTTTATTCCATTCCAGCCCCAGATGGCAGGCAGCGCTCACTTTGCACAAACCACTCGCGACTAGCCGCTGAAGCTTGCACAACGACCTGCCTTCGCGATGAGTTGTCACATCGAGTGTGAATATTGTAACTGCTTCAATCACTAAGTTACTGGAGGGAAACTCCGCCGCGCAGTTTGGTTTCATTCTCTGGCCATGCTTTCTCCAATTTATCTCCTGATGCGCTCCTTTTCTGAAGAACCTTGCATGGTTCCACTTTTACCGATTAGAATTTAGCAAATCTCCATTAATCCATTTCTCCATTTTCCCATGGGGGAAGTGGTGTTTTCCCAAATATCCTGCTGTCTTTGCCACCTCTACTAGTATGTGGTAGTAGTGGGTAAAGGGCTGGTTGAGGTGGTTTGCTGCCACCAATTATCCATTATCTTCAACCTGTCTAGTGATTGTGGTAGAAGATATATCACTGTATAGTATCTGTAGAGGTGACATTATTTTGTGATAACAATAAGGATTATTGTATGATGGCAATAAGCACAATTACATTTGGTCAGGTGCCATTACTAGGACCTTAAGGAACTGGCACAGAAATATCTGCTCCCTCCCAAAACTAGAGTAGAGCTCCTTGATTCCACCCATTGGCTGTATGACATGAGTAGAATAGGTGGAGCAAATGTAACTAGCATTCAGAACTATTACTATAACTCAAAGATCCATACTTAGTTCCCTCCTGTTCTCTGGCAACAGCACTTGCACATATATAGGGCCAGATATAGACACAGATCGTACATCTGGCTGTGGTTCCGCACCACTTCTCTGTTGTTTGACTTCTTGTCTAACAGACAATCGTACATTATTTGCTACTTGCAGAAGCTTCAACACTTAGAAGATTAAAGCCACCATTTTAAACTTTGATCAACTGTTATTGGCTTCATTCCCCTCTTCAGCTTGAACCTTTCTTTTGGGAAACAAATCTGCCAGCCAGCAAATGACTTCAGAGCCACAGCAATGTAGTTGACTCTTTACTGCCCTCTGAAATGGCCTAGCAAGCCACTCATTGAACCAAAATTTTAAAGTACAAAAGAAATAAAATTGAACAGACCGCCTCATGGTATCAAATTAGGCTCCAGAAATCAGAATAGCACACTCATCCTTGTCAACTCTGCAAGTCCTTCTCACTAACATTTGGGCCCTTCTGCCAAAATTTGAAAAGTTATCACACAGCCTGACATAGACATAGATATGGATTCATACCTTATATTCAACGTCCCAGGAACCAACATCACTATCACTGGCTGTGTCCTGTTATACTAGCAAGGCAGGAGCCACCAAAAGTGGTGTTACATGGTATATACAATCTGGAGAGAATTGCCCTGGATGTCCTCAACGTTAAACCCATGAAGTCTAATTGCATCAAATCAAACAGGGGCAAGGACACCTCCTGCTCATTATAACACTCCATTAACTGATCAGTCAGCACTCCACTATATTGAACCCTACTTGGAAGAAGCACTCACTGGTGGTGGCCAGAGCGTGATATGTACCCTTGGTGAATGTTGGGAAATCTCAAAGCCTATCACCAATACCAGCTCTACATAGCATCACTACTGACCAAGCTGGTCAAGTCCTGAGGGATATGCCTGCCAGTGAGGGCCTGTGACAGGTTGTGAAGAAACCAGCCAGACGGAAAAATCTACTTGACTTGTCCTCACAAACTTACTTGACATATATGCATCTGTCCGTGATAGTACTGGTCAGAATGACAATTGCACAATCCTTCTGAAGACAAAGTCCTATTATCATATTGCTGATACCTTCCATCATGTTGAGTGACACAGCCACTGTGCTAAATGGGACAGGCTTTGAACAGATACAGCAACTCAAAATGAGACATCCATGGCCATCAGCAGCAGCAGAATTCTAGTCCATCACAATCTGTAACCGCACAGTCCAGTCCCCACTTTACCATTACCACGTGTCCTTAAATACATTAATATAATTTAAATCTTCATCTTCAGTTGTATCCCTCCATAATTTTCCTTACTCAATTTCTTTGTTCTCCTTCAGCCCAAGACCTGAATTTAAAGCCTTTGTTGCTTTACTCCATGCATACTTTACTCAGACCTATCAGGAACATAGTGACAGGAAAGGGCCTTTCGCCTCTTATGTCTACTTCCCAATTCAATTAGATCATTAGATTAGGAAGCTCCCATTCATTTCAATTCACCACTTAGCTCCCAGTTTAATCTTTGTATCTTGGACCAGCCAGACCATTCCAATGAAACTCAATGCATGTCCAAGGAACAGCATTTCACCTTTTCACTCACTATCTACAGTCTTCTTGACTTAATGTTAAGTTCAACAATTTTAGATCATCACCTTTTCTCCATAATTTCATAATTTTATTTGCTGGTTCACCTTTTTCTTATTTCTTTCTGTGTTTCTTCATGTTTCATTTGGAGAGCTCACTTTATCTTGACACAGCTCTTTCTACTCCCTTTCACTTTTATACTACTCAACCATATGTCGTTAAATCTCTCCTGCCCTCCACCCTATCATAGAGCTTCTCTTTTCCCCTCTCCCTTTATGCAAAATATCTTTCCTCAGTTCTGGTGCATCTTCCTGAAATGTCGGGCTGCATTTTACAAGAGGGCAGAGTACTCACCTCCCCTGGGCAGGAAAGATGGTTAGAAGTTGGCTCAGTCTGAGCAAACCTGCCCTGTAGCCGTACTGCTGCAAGTAAGGTAAATTGCTTATCAGTGTAATATCCAGTCTTGAGTTGGAGGAAATTTCGCCTTGGGAGAAGTTTCTCTACCACCGCTGTCAACTCCACCTGGATTATTGTATGGGTGAGCTCAGGGGCAGCTGGAAAGGTAGTGGTTGGCCACCAGATGTATTTTATGTAGCCCCTGCAGACATCCAACCAAGCCTGTCAGTGACTTTTGAAGCCCAGCGCATTCAGTCTATTCCTGATCATTGATTGTTGAGTATTTCCAGCATTTTCTATTTTTTTTCAATTTTCAGCATCTGCAACATTATGCTTTTGTTTACATCGCAGTCTTGAAACTTCCTGTTGTCTCAACTTTTTGGAGGAGAGAATTCCAGATTATTCTTTGAACTTTCCTTCACCACCCCCACCCCCACAACCTTTCAGTCCCATATTAAAGTTCTTCTTAAAATCTATTTTTGAACAATCCTCCCAACAAACCTTAAAATCTCTCTTTTCTTGGGTTGGTGGCCATTTGTCTTTCTTAACCTTGATTGCAAAGCACTTTGTGTACTTAGCTTAAGGGCATTATTTATATAAGTAATCATTGAGAGTTGGGCATCTGGTTCATCTGGTTCACTAATATCCTATACGGAAGGAAACTGCCATCCTTACCTGGACTGGCCTACATGTGATTCCAGACCCATAGCAATGTGGTTGACTCTCAAGTGCCCTCTGCGATGGGCAATGAATACTGGCCAAGTCAGCAATGCCCTCAACCCGTGAGTGAATAAAAAAAGGTATTTTAGGATATATTTCCACATGCATTGTCGGTGTTCCAGAACTGTGCACCAGTGGACATTATTCATATGACAACATGGAGACAAAGTGCTAACAGTTTCCTTGGCAATGAAGTTCAGGTGGAAGTGATTGGGTAAAGGAGTGGAATAGGTATCAGATCTAGTATTACAGTTGCACTCTAACCTGCACTCAAACAATATCTAACATGTGTCATTCCTGCTAGGGTCACCAATAGCATAAGACTTCGGTTCCTTGACCAATGCTCACTGAGTCCAATTAGAATGCCTCTCAGCTTTCCTGAATAAGAGTTGCTAACTCGTTTTACTGGATGGAAAATCAGATGCAGTCAGTGTGCAGTTTCACAATACATGCTCCCATGAGTGTTGGCCGTGCAGATGCCTGAAAGTTACCATGTTTTGAATTCCAACAGCATATTTTACAAAGCCCATGCAACTATCTGACAACATTATTCTCAATTTGTCAGTTTTTTAAAAACGCTTTGTAAGATTTTGCTAATTTTCTAGATTTGATATTGATGAATGTTGCAATTATGAGCAGTTTGAGAGAGAATAAAAGAAGCAATGGAATGTACCACGAATAAGAATTTGTTGAAGCCTGGAGATAATTGCATCTGACCTAGAGCTCATCCATTACGGCCCTGACTTTCCAGTTGAATAAGCGTGGAATTCATCACTATTTGCGGCCCATTGAACAAACACAATTCCTGAGAGACCAACTGCTTACCTATCATGGTTGTCAACATTAACTGATGACAATCATGTCAATAGACCTGATGGCCTGCGTGTGTTTGCATGTGTCTACAAGGAGTAGGGGAGAGAGGGATATGAGAATGAAAGGATTTCATGTGTGCTGCTATTATTAGTAAACTCGCTAGTCACTGATATAGATTTTATATCCTGTTAAATGCTATCTCTCTGCCCTTCCCCCTGTCCCTGAACAATTATAATAGCATTTCATCCACAAAATTGTTCTCCATGATCTTAAAGCCTGATAACTCTAAATGACAAGGACGCTGAGCTGAAACACAGAGGGCTGTAATTGCCCTCAGAACTGTAACATAGCAAGTGTTATTAATTTAACGACAGCAGGGACATATACAAAAAATATAGTAAACTGTTCCAAGAGGCATGTGTTTAGGGTTACATTATTTTTCCCAATTGCCTAAATAAACAAATCTTGGAGAGAATGTAAAACATGTTTCCTTTCTCCCTCTTTAATATTTCATGGAAATGTGGGAATCGTTGGCAAGGCCAATACTTGTTGCTATTTGTTCTTTAAAGGAAATTGCTCTTGAGAGGTTTGCTAGGCTACGTCAGAGGGCAGTTCAGAGTCAACTATGTTGATGTGGGTCTGGAGCCACATGTAGAAGTCACCAAGTAAACTTGGCGATTTCCTTCCCTAAAGAGCATTAGATAAACCAGATGTATTTCTACAACAGTTGATGATTATTGTCATGATCGCCATTACTGACGATTAGCTTTATAGTTCCAAATTTATTAACTGATGCCATGCCATGGTGGAATTTGTATCTAGGTCATCAGCACATTAGCCTAGGTTCAGTGACGTTACCATTACAGCACCATTCATG